CTTCCCATATTAGCTAGACAGTTAAGGAGTAAGCCTTCTAAAATTATCTGAAAGTTTCTCATTTTTGTTACTAGAGTATGCTGGCATCTAGTCTGTCTCTCTGTTTCCCTTTAAGCACTGGAAGATTTACATTCTTAGGGTCTGATAGTGCTACCTGGTAAAACTCTTCAGCGTCAGTTGCCTCAGGAAGTTACCCTTGACTGAGAAAGGTATCTCACAAAGCTATGCCACTTACAGAAAAAAACAGCATCGATACTGGGGTGTTAGAGGCTCCACCCTTCTCTAGGGACTATTTCAGCTTTAGAGCTACCTATGGGGTCAAGAGAAGCCTTTGCAGACTCATTGTACCTTAGCGTCTTTTCCTCCCCTTCCCTGGTGATGCCCCTAACAGCATTGCTCAGCAAGTGTTCCTAGAATCACTACAGCAGGTGACAGACTGAGATTGGCATGAAGACCACACCAGGCAGCCAGATTTTGAAAGGTATAGAAAAGGAGCAGGAAGAAAGTGAGCTGAAGATGGCTTAACACAGACCAGCCTCCGGTTCAAACTATGAGGTCACCACTGCCTCGTGTCAGTGGCACATTTCTTCTACATGCTAAAGCTCTATCCAATGACTAAGTAGTAAGCCCAGCAGAACACAGGACAACTAAGGCTTTCCTTAATTATACTAAGAAGTTAAGAGTTAATGGGATCCCCAAGGAGAACTAAGTGTAGAATTTGCTAGAGACTTCCTGAAGATCACTCTACTGGCAAAGCATGGTAGAGAAAGGCTTTCTGCTCAATGGTCCAACTGGAGTCATGACATTTAAAAAACATTTTTTGGCAGAACCTACATTTGTGACTATTTTTAAGACTGAAGCACAGTAAGTATGAAGCCAGAAGTCAAATACCTAACAAGCACCTTGAAAACTCACAGAGAATTACAATCATGTCCATTAAATCGGATGCTGAAGAACTGGGCAATCAAACAGAAAGTTAAATATTTAAGTAGTTTTATGTTGTCCTTTTTTTCTAATAAAAACATTAAAAAAATCAAAGATGTTTTATTACTTAGGTATGTTCATTTTCTTAATTAGTAATTGCAAAATTGACACCTGCTCAGCAATTTTAAATGATGGTATAGTAGGAATATATGTAAATTGTTTTTGCTCATCTGTGATGATAGAGAGGAAAATTATACACAGGCTTTATTTTCCCTCCTCAGCTTATTGTTATGGTTTATGTATTTAATGTGTGGCCCAAGACAATTTTTATTTTTCAAACAAATGTGGCCCAAGATAGCCAAAAGGTTGGACATCCCTGTTCTCAAATAAGGGAAAAAGAACAGATGAATTCAACCTAAAGCCCTGTCTGATGTATCACTCAAAAAGGCATTAGAATGCCTAACAGTAGGTAGGCAAATTCTGACTTGTAATTAATTCTCAATTAACTGATTGTCTTCAAGTTCTCCTTATTTTTTCTACTACATTTGACTTATTAAGGACCTATCAAGGTTTATGAATATATCTCCAAAGTGTCTAAAAAAAAAAAATCAAGACATGGACACTATGGAGATCAGCTACTGTCTCCTTTCATGTGCACTGGTACATCAGCATCCTGTATCAACTGAGACCTTGCATTTGAGGAAGCATTTTTAAAAATTTTTTATTTATTATTTTTATTTTACGTGTATGCGTGTATTGCCTACATGCAGGTAAGTGCATCCATGTCATGCAATGCCCAGGGAAGTCAGAAGAGGCTATTGGATCCCCTGGGACTGGAGTTAGCAGACAGTTGTTAGCTGCCATGTGGGTGCTAGGATTTGAAGTTTTTTAAAATGTGGTTGAGGGGCTGGAGAGATGGCTTGGTGGTTAAGAGCATTGGCTGCTCTTCCAGAGAACCTGGTTTAGTTCCTAGCACCCACATGACAGCTAACTCTTAGTATCTCCAGTTTTAGGGGATCTGCCATCCACTTCTGGACTTCAAGGGCATTGCATGTATGGGTACAGTTACATATATGTAGGCAAACACTCATACAATATAAAATAAAAATAAGTTTTTTAAATGTGCTTGTCAAAAGCATGGGCAGATGCATCTCCAATATAGGTTAAAATAAGAGGGATTAGCTCTTTGTTCTACCTTAGAGGTATTTGTTTTTATTAAGTCAAGAACTAGCCTTTCTAATCATAAAGTATATTTGCTCTGTAATGAAATAGTACACTATGATAAATCAAATAATTTCATAACATTATCCTGAATGCTTTTATACACTAAATTCAACAATATTGAATAAGCTTTTATAATTTAAATAATTTATGGTACTAAACAAATGGAATTTGACTTAAGAGTATTCTTTTGGATGCATAAAGCAAATATTGGGGGAAACTAAAGAATGAAGGAATCAGCTCTTCTGTGGGTGGGAAGGTAAGTCTACTGCAGTTGCAGCAGGCTCATGCTACCCAAACTGCACAAGCTCTAGTCTATAAGACAACTGGTCAAGTGCCAGGCTGCTAAGTTAGCATTCATTTTACTTTATTGTTCTCAGTGCTATGATTTAGTCTAAAACTCTCAAAAAGTCAAGGCATGTTTGAGGACGTGGTGAAACTACAGTATATGCTCTAAGAGGCATGCCTCCTACCATCCATCATTCACACACACACACACACACACACACACACACACACACACACAAAGAAAATAAAGTTTGGTTGAATTTGAATGTTGTTGTATCTGAAAAGGAAAGAACACTTAATGCAATAAATGCAAGCACAATGTTTTTAACCAAACTTGCCAGATTCTATAGATGCTTTTGGTTAGTTCCCAAAACGCTGAAGTCTAATTGCAGGAGCATGGATGAGTAATAGCTACCCAGACTATACTTCAAAATCCAGCTTTCAAAGTGCCTCTCTCTCAAGAGCTAAGAGGTAGTTACGAACACTAGAATATTTTCTTCACAAGGAAAACTGTCACATGTAATACTGTAAGTTACATGCTGTTTTCCTTATCAAATATACCATACTTCAAGGAGATCTGTAGGGGACAGCAGTGTCTAAATTACCTCAAAACCAAATGTTTTCTTTTTCATCATCATTTATGAAATCATTAGTAACCTAAACACTAACTAAGTTAGTTCCTGATTGAATACTTGGAGCTCTTTAACCTACCTTCAGTAGAATCACCTGTAGCCATAGAGCATTGCAATATTCAAATGGTGGGTATATAATACTAAGCAGAATTTCAGGTAGAGACTGCTAACCCTATTCAAGTATGGAGTTGGGAATTCAAGAAATAATTGGAATATGGTTGAAGAGGCATTTATATTCTAGCACCTGTTGCTTATTTTTGCTTCTATTTGTGCACAGAATTAAACTCTCTGAACTGAGGTCTATTATGCTTGAAATAGGAAGACTATTGTTCATGTGACTTACTTGACATAGGAATGCAGCACCAACAATAGTAAAAAAAAAAAAAAACATGGTAGTGATGCAACTTTCACTTTTTGAGTGTTATAAATTGAAAACAACACAGGAGATCGGAGCTCATCTTTTTATAGATGAAGACGCTGAGGCTTCCATAACAACTTGTACAAAGTTAGACACCTTGGCAGATTTTAAATGTGAACACCAACCACTGTGGCTGTAGAGGTCAAGCTGTCATCATGCCCCAAATACATTCTGGTGGATCGCCTAATGAGATAACACCATTGACTTCAGGCTGGAGGCAGCAAGTGCCACAGTAATATGATATATCATTACTGTATTTTCAGGTTGCTAAAGTGTGTTTTCTGCTGAAGACACACACTTCTCAGCTAGTGGATATCCGCTAAAGTGACTGGGAAAAGGCATGAGTGCCTATGCAATCTGGACCCCAAAACAATGGACAATAACTTCAGAATAGATACAGAGTTGGTAGCATCACTTTGTATATTTGGGCATTCACTCAAATCTCCATAGTCTTAACTGGTAAGTGTTAAATATCTCTGAAGACAACAATGGAAGGTGCTGGGATCATTACAAAAGCTGGGAGATTGTTGTGTGGGAAGCAGGGCTTGCTAAGTTCATATGGACAATTTTGCAGGCTGCTCATAAAAGGTTATTAGAGAATACACATGACCAAGATACACTGTTTGCACGTATGAAATTGTCAAGTAATAAATAGAAGATATATATTTTTAAAAAGTAGAGGAAGAACATGTTCACAGAGATAAGACAAGTATGTCAGGTTGAGAGTAGCCTGTGGCCAAGTCTCCCAGTGACTAGCCTCTCCTTGGAGGCCGAAAAGAGGAAACTGGAAAGGTATCAAAGGCAAATCAACTATATTTTCATTTTTATAAAGCTTTTAAATTAGGGGAGTGATTTTTATTAACCCAAGAGAGGTTAACTGAATTACAATTAAATTTACATGCTATTTGGGTGCAAATCCTATTTTCTCAGAGAATGTTCAGTCTTGAGTGAAACAGAAAAGAGTGAGTGGGTGGGAAGAACACTTTCTGTACTTCTAAATTTCGATGAGACTGACCTACAACCTCCACATTCCCCTTCACTGACCCCACTTCAGGCAGTGAGGTCTAAAGGTTCTGCCATCCTCTCACTCCCTTAGAACACTGCTGCTTCTTGTTTGTTTCAGGAGAGTGTTAACAAAGCCCAACAATCGTTGTAGAGATTGTGCACTGCGCATTCTGAGTGGTGCTTTCCCAACATCCCTTTCTAAGTAATTCTCTGAAAGCCTCAACACACGAAGTACACAATCCATACAACTGTACTTGGATGCCGTGTACACAGATTCAAAACTAGACTGGATATAAAGAGCTTGACACATTCACTCACCCATTCATCCCAGTACTTGTTGTCTAATGTACACCAGAACTGAAGGGTCCTGTGCAGCTATCTGTAAACAACAGTGCCCAAGCCCTAGCTTAAAGGACTCTATGGTCACACAGCAAAGTACACTAGGCCTGAGAAATGCTCAGGAAGGAATCCAGCTTCCGTATCAGCCAAATGGGAAGGACGGCAGGCCTTACCAGATTTGTGTTCACTTTATGTCGGAAGCACGTGATATTCACCACATAAGGCCAGTCATCAGGCTCCATGAGCACCCCAGCGGCGTGGGCACATGTCACGTGGAATGAAGCTGGGCAGCGGCCATATGAACACTGGATGCAGGCACCAGAGATCCTCTTAACCCGGTGTCTGCAGAAGATACATTTCTAGAGGATTGAAACAGAGAAGTGCATCAATTCACCAGAGAATTCAGCATTAGATGAAAAATAAGCCATTGATTGCATCAAGCCCTGACTCCACAGGCCCCACTGGCACGAGCTTCTGTAGCAATATAGTCTTCTCACTGTGAAAGAAATACACTTCCGTAATCACACCCATCAGACATATGCTGAAGTACTTCTTATGACTAGAAAAGCCACATTGTTTTCTATGTGCCCCTCCTGGAATAGACCTCAGGAGGTCCCAGAGGCTGGCGTAAGCATCTGAGATACCTGGAGCTGCTTCTGTCTGGCCTGGGCAAGGCAGGTCTCTGTGTACACCACAAGTCAGAGCACAGGTCTAGAGGGCAGGTGCATGCACTCTTACAATACATTCAAATTCATAAAGCATTCAAACATACATATTGGAGAATTTTACATTTATAAGGAAACGGAAAGTACTAAGTGGTTCGGTGTAGAAACTAGGAACTCAAGTATTTAATAGTCCAAATCTGAACCCTTCTTAACTGAAACAAAAATGCCCTGAAAACAAATTTTAAATTTATTTTGTGTGAGCACACCATTTGTGTGCAATGCCTGCAGAGGCCCAAAGAGGGCATCAGATCTTTTGAAGCTGGAGTTATAGCTGATTGTAAGCCTCCACCTGGGTGTTGAAAACTAAACCCATGTCCTCCTCAAGAGCAGCCAATGCTTTAAAGTACTGTGCCATCTCTCCAGTGCCCCAAAGTGGAAAAACTTAAAAGCATCCCAAACAGCGTGGTTAAATTGAACTTTCATAGTTGCCAATGCCAGGTGAAAAGAAAATGAAAAGATGGCAATAGTAGTTACCGCAGCCTGAAAACTTACTTGCACACAGAAAGCCATAAACATCAGCTCATTTGTTATGAGACATAAAAGAAAAGGAAACAGCATCACTAAATAGAAGATAGACTACTACTTGCAGGTTAGGGAATCATGATTACAGATCAGCACAGAGCCAGATTTGGAAGCAGAAGAAACAAAATGACCAAAAAGCTCAGCGTGTTATCCCACATATAAAAAAGGTTTACAATCTGATTAAATTCTGGTGCAACTGCTCTCTTTTTTAAGTTACATTTGCCCTTCTTGGGACAAAATAGGTGCTTCAGCTCAATGCCTTCTGCATCCATCACAGTCATCCAAGAATTAGTGTGCATTTAACTTCTAAGTCCTCTCCACTCTCACGTATGACTCAGGCTTATGGATTCCTCAGTCTTGCTTTGACATCTTCCTACTCATCTACAGCAACTGCCACTGCCTCCCCCATGGTGTTCTCCACAGAACAGACATGGTCTCTTAACTGGTCTTTTACTTTGTTATATTTGCTCAACTTCCCGGGGCTGCCAGGGTTACCTCTTTATGTTGATAAATACTGTGTCACCCCCTTGCTTGTGAATCTTCATTAGCTTCTTATCTTTATTGTTTGGAGAAGGAGGTGTGTGTGAGGAACAGCATGATACAGAAGAGCAAAGCTTTTAAAAGGGAACCTCTTCATTAAAACTATAGCAGTCTTATTTTTACTAGTCCCTACAAGGGCTCTGCTAGGTTCTAGGCACTTACCTGATTTCCTAACACATTCAACTTTAATGTATAAACAAGCATTATTAACTGGGGGTTGAAGATGT